ACAACAACAACAATAACAACAACGACGATGAACACGACAACAACAACAATAACAACAACGACGATGAACACGACAACAACAACAATAACAACAACGACGATGAACACGACAACAACAACAACAAGTTTATAAATCATCATCGAACACTTTATCATTCATCTGTCTCCCCTTCCACAGTAACTGAGATGTTTAATACTTTTCGTAAGGTACTATACGAGTCTGGATCAAAAGAACTTGAAAAATTTGAAAATTTCGCTCGCAGTTATGAGTCCAAATCTGCTATTAATGGTTACAGGAACTGTGACGTTTTTCAGAAATGTCTCAACGATATTCTTCGGAAAGATGACCTAAAAAATGTTAAAGCTATTCAGCCTGCCGTTTGGGACATCATAAACTGCCTGAAATATCGGAAATCATACCAAATATCACAAGAAGATGGTAATCTACTCAAGTTATATCGTGGACAACGTATGACCTTATACGAATTGTCAGAAATCAAGGATCATGGAGGAACTGTTGTGGCCATAAGATCCTTCTTCTCAACCACCTTTTCGGAATCTATTGCGAAAGTATTCTCTGGTCAAGAATCAGACAAAGAGCAACATATGGTGTCAGTATTGTTCGAAATTTCTGTTGAAACAACGCAATCACTGCTGCCGTATGCATGGATACATGAAAGTCGTGAGGATGAAGTAATCTTTTCGCCACATACCATGTTTATAATCAAATCGTGTAAAAAACTAGATGGTATTAAGTCCTGGCTCGTGGAGTTACATGCCTACTCAAGAGAAGAACAAGATCAATTAGAACATACTTACGGAAAAACATTTTTTTATCTTGGAAATATTCACGTAGAAGAGAGGGGGGGGGGCGGTCGTGGTTGTTCCCTTCTGACCACCTGATGAGACCCTTGAGCAAGGTCGAAACCGATCCCATGGATTCAAAAATCTTTTGTTATCAGAAATAATACCACATCAAGTTTTAACAAAGTTCTGAACAGGCGATGTTCTATTCATCGCCTTTTCTTGATCAGATCGTGTAGTGCTTTCTTATTTTCGCTTTTTGTTTGCATTCGATAATAAATGAGCGGCCTGTACTTTTATTTTATTTCATTCATTTTTTTTTCTATTCTCAATCAGAATGACTATGGTTTGGTGCTGTTGTGCATCGATGTTGTTGTTGTTGTTGTTGTTTGTTTTGTTGTGTTCATCGTTGTTGTTGTTGTTGTTGTTGTTGTTGTTATTGGTGTTGTTGTTGTTGCTATTGTTGTTGTTGTTTGTTTTGTTGTGTTCATCGTTGTTGTTATTGTTGTTGTTGTTGAAGTTGTTGAAGTTGTTGTTGTTGTTGTTGTTGTTGTTGTGGTGGTAGTTGTGCTTGTTGTTGTGATGGTAATTGTGCTTGTTGTTGTGGTGGTAGTTGTGCTTGTCGTTGTGGTGGCGGTTGTGCTTGTCGTTGTTGTTGTTACGAATCTGTGTTGAAAACAGGTTGGATGCCGGTAACAGAAGGTTGGAATTCTGTGCATTGTTTTTTACATACGGTTCGTGTTTGCATGCAATTAAACTTTTATTATCTAAAGCATTTCAAGCGAAGCTCTTTCGCTTTTCCCAACATTGGCATCACGCAATACTTATAAATACATATAGCCACGAATATGTTGACTCAGCAATTAGTTACCCAAATTGCTGCGATAGTAGCAAAAACAAGAAAAACCACTCTAACTACAACGGCAGCAACAACAACTACAACTACACGCACTACAACCGCAACAACAACAACGAGGAACACCACCACCACAAAAACAGCAACAACAACTACAACTACACGCACTACAACCGCAACAACAACAACGAGGAACACCACCACCACAAAAACAGCAACAACAACAACGACAAGCACAACCACCACCACAACGACAAGCACAACTACCACCACAACAACAAGCACAATTACCATCACAACAACAAGCACAACTACCACCACCACAACAACAACAACAACGATGAACACAACAAAACAAACAACGACAACAACAATAACAATAACAACAACAACAACAACAACAACAACTTCAACAACAACAACAATAACAACAACGATGAACACAACAAAACAAACAACAACAACAATAGCAACAACAACAACACCAATAACAACAACAACAACAACAACAACAACAACAACAACAACAACAACAACAACGATGAACACAACAAAACAAACAACAACAACAACAACAACAACGATGAACACAACAAAACAAACAACAACAACAACAACGATGAACACAACAAAACAAACAACGACAACAACAATAACAAGAACAACAACAACAACGATGAACACAACAATAGCAACAACAACAACACCAATAACAACAACAACAACACCAATAACAACAACAACAACAACAACGATGAACATAACAAAACAAACAACAACAACAACAATAACAACAACGACGATGAACACGACAACAACAACAATAACAACAACGACGATGAACACGACAACAACAACAATAACAACAACGACGATGAACACGACAACAACAACAA